TTACCACGCACGTCAGTCTGTGGCAAGTGCAGGCAGGATCATGTCTGTCGGGAAACTACAGTACATGTTCCGTGAGGTTTATGGCGGGAGCCATTTGTAACAATGGCTGCGAACTATCGCATAAACGCACCCCGCCGCCCTATTGTAGTGGTTACGGTTTGCGTGCCACATGAGTGTCCGAAGGGGAACTTGAAACGCCCAGCCTGAGATTGACCCACTGTATTTGTTGTTCTTTCGGCTCTCGTGTGGGGGGGAGCAAGCTTTAGGGGGAGGGCAAAAAACTGTTCCGCTGGTTGGTGCCACGAACCAAACAACGCCAAAGGGGCGTAAAAATATGTCACCGACCGGTGGGGAGGTGCCTGCGGTGACCGCGAAGCGTTGTCCTGCACTGCCCTTCCGGAGCGGCTTCTTGATCGCCCGAAGCCCAGGATGGGTCATCAGTAGTACCAAGTGTCTATTGAAAAAAAACGAGATAGTGTGTGATGTGTGCGTGACCGCCCCTTTTACTCTGGCGCCAGTCTGCACACCTCTGGTGTATACGTTTGATGTGTCAGCCGGAGTCACACAAGAGGAAGATCATGCAGGAGTTTCCTTTTCTTTTATTGCCCCACCTCTCCTCCGGCGGTTCTTGCCTACAGTTTCAATCACGAGAAGAGTTCAGCGGACCCTTATCCTCGTTGATACCGCCACGTCGAAGTGGGCATGCAAAATCGACATTTTTGCGCTGCACCATATTGACAAATAGTACCCTATAGGGTTGCGGGGGGGCACTGGTAGACCACCGTGGGGACCCGTACTTGAGGTAAGGTTTGACGGCTAAAATTCGAAGACCTCTGATGTTCGTATATGTCCTTTACTTGGAAACGGAAGACGTTTTATCTCTTGTATTAGACACGCAAGGGGAGTAGGGAGAAGTGAAGCCCTCTGTGGAGTTCGAGGGGTCCCCGCACATGCAACCATTTCAAGGTGTACATATGCCCCATCTGCGTGCCCTCTGTTGTTGCCGGTAGATCTAACCAGTCCGTATCCAAACACACGAACACCCTCCCCGGTTTGCACGCCTAGCGTGGGGCATGGATACCCCTGATCTACCAAAGGGACTCAAAACAACAGGCTCTAGGGAAAGCCCGGCCAACCGGATCAAAACCCTCGTCTACCACCCAAATATAGAAAACCGTCGCTATCACGGAGGATTCCAACGGCCGCACTTCCAAGACAAGACCAAGGCAGGACAGATTGAACCGGTCACGCTGATTACACACCCGAAGCAACGCTCTCGGCGTTTCTAGGCTCCAGCCGCGGGTGGCGCGCCGGCACAACGCTTCCTGCGTGACGTACCATGGTCATATATGCCAAGTGCTAAAACCACCACATAAACCAAACAGAGCAAGAGAACACCACATCGGTAGGTTCATCAGAGCATTCCGGTGGCACGCTGATTTCTCTCTGCCAAGGACCTTGGTCAGCATGTCGGCGTGCTGCTCTCCAGTCGGAACATACTCTGAAGTGATCTTGCCCGACTTGTATAGCTCGCGAATGAAATGAAACCGCACGTCGATGTGCTTGCTCCTCGCTGAGCTGAACGGGTTCTCGATTAAGGCGAGAGCCCCCTTGTTGTCTTGAAGGACCTTGATCTTCGCCCCACTCGTCTCAGGCGCTGTGAACGACAGAACGCCAAGCACAAACAACGCCTCCTTCACGCCCTCCCCGGCTGCCATATACTCTGCTTCCGAGGCCGACTGAGCCGTCACTGGCTGCGTCTTGGTGGATGCACACACTACGGTACCACCTACGGTCACAGCTAGCCCGGTCGTAGAACGCCTGTCTACTTCGTTGTCAGCGTAGCTGGCATCGACAAACACGCTTAGGTCTAGTCCTGACCCCCGTACGTAGGTGATGCCGAAGTCCTTCGTGAAGTTCAGGTAGGACATGATCCGCACAAGCGCGTTCCATATCCTCCCGGTGGGTGAGTGGGCGATCTTCTGGAGCTTGTTCCGAGGCACGGCGATGTCTGGCCTCGTCAGCTTCGTCCACATCAGGCATCCGATCGCCTCCCTCACAGGCTTTTCCACCGCGGGCTCGTCATCTTTCTTCGGCCCTTGGTAAAGGTTTCAGTCTTGTCGTGGCCATCTGTCTCTTTCTTCATGGCCGCCTCCCAGAGAGCCTTGTACTTCGAACACATCACATCCTTGTACGTCATCCGTACTGCTTCCACATCACTTGGCTTCTGCCCGATTGGCGAGGTCATAGATAGCTGTGGGTCTGGGAGTGGTTGCGAAGACCCGCTGGCGTCGACCTCGGCCCCGAACGCCTGCTGTTCCGGGCGCAACACCTCCTGCATCTCGCGCCTGTACACCTCCTCCATACGGCGTGTCTGCTCCTCGTCCCACTGCTCCTTCACAAGCGAGTTGCAGATGTAGTCCTCAACAATCCCCGTCCCGCCAGTTTCCAGGATGGTCGCCAGCAGTGCCTCTTCCGGGTCCGGTGTTTCTCCGGGCCCCGGCATCTCCCCGGCACCTTGCATCTCCCGGGTCTGCTTCCGCGTGCGGCCACTCTCAAGCCCATGGCGCAGCGGGCCAGCGTTCGAGGCGCCCCAGCGGAGATTCTTCCCTTCTAGCCCGCGGGGGTAGCGGTCGTCGGCTGCATCATACTTCAACTCCTCGAGGTTCTCGGAGTCGCCGGGATCACCATCGCTACCGCCGTCCCCACCTGGGTCGCCGGACTCTTCGCCGCCCGGGCCGCCGGCACCGCCGGCGTCACTGCTGCTGCTGCTCGGGCTGCTGCTGCTGTTGCTGCTGCTGCTGCTGCTGCTGCTGTCGGTGGGGCTGCCACTGCCTCCGCCGAAGTCGCCCCCTTCGGGCAGGGGCGACGGGGGAACGCTGCCTCCGTCCCCCGGAATCCCGTTGCCGGGNCTGCTGCTGCTGCTGCTGTCGGTGGGGCTGCCACTGCCTCCGCCGAAGTCGCCCCTTCCCGAAGGGGGCGACGGGGGAACGTTGCCTCCGTCCCCCGGAATCCCGTTGCCGGGTGCCGTCGGCGCCTCCTCGCGCACAAACGGCGTCGCTTGCCCTGGCCCACGAGCCTCCATCACGTCGAGGTCGGACTCACTCTCTGAGTCTCTGTCCCCCCCCGAACCTTGGCGTGATGCATCCGCTCTGCTCTCGCCCTCCCCGCCCTCCTCGTCATCTGCGAGAGGTAGCAGCTGCGGGGGAGCGGGCGATGCAGCGGGCACGTGGCGCCAGGTGAAATTGCGGGTGGTGATTACGGTTCCAGCTTCGGTTAGCATGCGAACGCAGTCACGGGGGTGATTGTGGGCAGGACCAAGGTACCATCCTTTTTCGCCCTTGGGTTGCGACTTTGCTTTTCTTCTCGACTTGAACACGGCTGGTTTGAGAAACGGGGATGTAGACCCGACAGGCGGTGGGGGGTCGTGGAACATCTCGTAGGCTGATTTGTCTCCCTCGTTTGATTTAGTGGCGGTGCAGTTCAGCTGATGGCATGCACACGAAATGGCCTCGGCCCACAACCGGGGGTGGTTCGGTGCGTCGGGGAACAGTTGCGTCGCTTGGATGCGTGACGCAAGCGCGGCATCAGTGATCAACCCCAGCGCTCTCTCCGCTACACCGTTGTATTTTGGGGTGTTAGGGGGGGTGAACTCTTGTTTGATGCCGTGTCTGCGGCAAACTTCCGCAAACTGCCCCTGGA